ACATTGAGCACATCCAGGTCCAGTGTGTAGCAGAGCAGGTGTTACGAAACATCTAGATATGTCTAGAAGGTTAGGAACAAGTTGCTGACCTCTTTCCCTGATCTCTTTCCTGTTTGGGGCAGCAGAAGGAATGGAGAGGAGGGGGGCAAGGGGGTCGGTTTGCTCTCTCGTTCTTTGAAAGGGGGGGAAGATGAGCAAAAACAAGAAAAGGACACAAAGAGGCGAGAGAAAGCGAGAGAGACGAGAGGCGGAGAGAGCAGAGAGAGAGAGAGAGGGGGAGAGAGTGAGATACAGCATTAGAGAGATCTCGTTATCTCTAGAGCCTATCTTATCTTCTATCTCTATCTCTCTCGCTCTCTTTTTCTCTATCTCTCTCTCTCTCTCTTCTCTCTCTCGCTCTCTCTCTCTCTCTCTCTCTCTCTCTCTCTCTCTCTCTCTGTCTCTCTCTTTGCCTGTGTTCCAGGTGGTGGGACAGAGCACTGCACACACACAGACACTTATAGTCCAGGGAGTGTGTGTCCTCAATTCAAAACATGTATTTTTATGGTCTGTGCTACATCTGGAGGGCTATTTACCCCCAAACCCATTATCTTTTCTGTCCACATCTATCATGACATTACACAAGACCCGTCCTCCAGTGGCAAATCATATTTGTGAAATAATACTGAAACCAAAAAAGGTCAGATTTAGCTAGGCTGAATACAGCACACTCCAAAGAGAAACACAACCGGCAGTGTCAAAGACCAGGCCAGTGCTATCTTTCGAGTTACTTTTCCATTTGGATAACAAAAGGGCAGGCACTGCAACTGTGAATGTGATACTGACATTTAACATTGACCTGGCTGGCTTGAATAGTATGCTAATATTCCATGAAAACATTAACAAGCTCAAGCAAAACTCCACTGTGTGTAATGATTCATGTTATCATTTGAGGCTTTGCACAAGTTAATCAGCCTATGTAATACAATACAAACTCCACATACAGTAGCAGGTGCAAAACATATTTCAGGATCACCTACTGTGACCTAATAGATCTGCAACATAGAGTGCTTTCTGCACCAAGCCATCTGGATGGGGAGTTTGCTATGTGTAACACATAGCATACCGTCTGCAGTCCACAGGCCAAGTGCCCTCCAGCGATTCAAGGTGATTATTCTATTGTACTTTTCTCCATCGACTTCTGTTTTATCCCCGGGAGGATCAGCTGCGGTGTCTGACCTTCAAGTGTGAAGAAGAAAATAATAGAGAGGTAAGATTGTTCCCTCCCAACGTGTGGCCGTTTAACCAGCGATGCGAGCTGCCAAAACAGGGGCCCCAGGTGGTTGACGATCCCAGTCTCCCCATGTGTTTCAGGACATCGCTGTGTCCTTGAACAGCCCCAGTTTGAGTCTCAGTTGGAGATTACTGAAAGTTCGGCTTTCCTTGAGCCACAGCACCACTCAATCATCCAACATTAGCCTTCCTAAGGGGTTAATGTTGCCAACCTTCTCCATCTGTTGCTAGGGAAGTGTTGCCTGTAGTGCAGGAAACAGGGAGAGAGGTTTCCTGTTATGAAGAGAGGTTTTTAAAGGGTTGCTTTCCTCCAATCATTCAACCGATGCCGAGCCAGGAAGCCGGGCCAATAGCAAAAGCTTTTGGTGTCCTAAAGAAACTGTTTTTAGAAACTGTTTTGGGGGACTTTAGAGTTCATAGTATTCTGGAAATGTTTTAGGGACAAATATGTTCTGGAATATTATATTTAGGTATTACAACACAAGTTTATCATGACTCAAACATATTGGAAAATGATTAAGCTGACAGAGTTCTCAGTCCTATCTCAGATTCAAATTGTATTCATTCTATATCAATAAATATATCTATAATTAAAAGGAAAGCTAATGTTCTTATTTAAATTGACATTTGTTTTAGTCATATGTGAATAATTAGAGACACTGAAACCAGAGCTTTAAAAACTACCCTCATAATGTGAACAATGCCTCATTATGCTTATAGCCTTGGATACTTACACATCCAATGCATCCAACTCTGTACTGACGTGTCAAATACATCAAAGCTCTATCAAATCCAAATAAATTAATTTCAGGTAGGCCAATAGGTCACAAGTAATCTGTATATTTTCTTAAACTATTTGCTCATTTGAAATACATTCATTTATGGTGTAAATATATAGCTATTGTAATTCGAAATGTAACACTTTTATTGAGCTGAATGTGGATGAAGTGGGTTTGGTCAGTGTTCCTTGTCCGCGAGACAGATCTTCCTTCTCAGGATTCGCGAGAGAGCACCTCCCTTATACTTCGCGAGCGCACCAGTCGCGCATCCGCTAAACAAAAGGGATGCCGGCTCTGTGGACAAACAGCTACTACCTTGACAGAGTAATAGCCAGTACTTGGATAAACAACGAGAGCAAACGGTGAAATGTTGAATTTAGACCACTTGAATACTTTCAACATGAATTTGGGATAAGTTTCCAGAACCTGTGGACATATTGTAGCGGTTGTTTCCTGCATGTGAAAAAAATATGTGGATAACTCTCGGTTGCTATAGCGGATGATGTCCCAAAATGAACACAGGTATGTGGACTAATATTCAAGTGGCGATGCATATTCAAGAAAATAAATTGGGAGCCTGATATATGTATTTACATAAAGGATGCTCCAAGTGTGTGTGTGTGCGTGTGTGTGTGTGTGAGAGAGAGAGAGAGAGAGAGAGAGAGAGAGAGAGAGAGAGAGAGAGAGAGAGAGAGAGAGAGAGAGAGATAGCATTTCTCAATTTTGTGTTAAACAAATTTACTTTTTTCCTACACCACTTGAAATATCATTGGAGAACAAATTGAATATCTAAAATCACTGCAGGATCAGAGACCAAACAGGTGTAGGCTATTCGATTAGTTTGTTTCGATTCGTTTTTCTTTTTTTTAAAGGACATTTCCTTTTCTTTGATAGATAGACTAATAGCGGGTCAAATCTCACTTTGAGTGAGATAACAACTATTGCAGAATGAAAGTCAATTAACCATAATAGGTTAACCAGTTTGTGCAGTTCTGTCCTTGAGCTGTTCTTGTCTATTATTGTTCTGTATTATGTCAAGTTTTATGATCCCCCAGCTAATGGTGATCCTAATAAAATAACAAATTAATGATGGGTAGTGAAGGCTGTCATCAGTGTCATAACTGATGTCCTGCAGCAGCCTATATGGGGCGATTGATGTGGCATGTTATTAAGCACAATCCATACAGAAAAAGGTATATTTTGAATTCCAGCTATAGTAATCCAAATAGCGGCCGATATATTGGTTATCTGTGAATATTTCCACTCTAAAATCGAAATCCTTATCGGATTGAAAAATCCTATATCGGTCGGGCTCTAGTTGTACTGTATGATGTGAAGGTAGCTCTACTGCATTTCTACTGCACTGTGATGATTGGCCTATTCACTGAGTATTTTATAGAATTGTTGTTATTACGTGATGGGGGATATTTCGTGATTCCCTCACAGTCTGAGATCATATCCTGTGAGCTTGGCACAGTCATGGTCCTATTTTTCTACCTTTCCTTTGTTTTTCAAACTTTTGTTTTAATTGAATTCTTGTTGCATAATTCATATCCTGTTGTTTGCAGAGGGACTTTGTGGGACTGGACGTTTGTTTTTTCTCCGTTTTATTGTTATTTGACACACTGAAAGGACCTTTTCAGCAAAAGTGTGTGTGTGCGTGTGTGTATGTGTGTGTGTGTGTGTCAGGGGAAGAATGACAAGAAGGAAGTCCATTTGTGTTGTGAGAATTTGTACTCCTAGAAGGGTTCATGGAGGAGTGAGGGCACGCTGTTAATGTCCTTCCCTCGTGGACTTCCTGCGTCGAGTCCTTCAATGGGAGTCTGCTGGAATAGTTCATTAGTGGTGTTGGAAAACAACAGGGAGAGAGTGAGACACATAGACAGATGGACAGTCAGGTAGAGACAGACAGACATTCAGACAGGCAGTCAGATAAGACAGACAGACAGCAGCACTGACATACAGATAAGACAGACAGAAAGAGAGGCAGAGACAAACAGACAAGACAGACAGACTGATAAGACAGGCTGATCAGACAGACAGATAAGACGTACAGAAAAGACAGATAAGACAGACAGCCAGAGAGGTGGAGACAGACAGATAAGACAGACAGACAGCTAAGACAGACAGATCAGACAGACAGATAAGACAGACAGACAGCCAGTTAAGACAGACAACCAGACACACACAGAGAGACAGAGAGAGGCAGACAGATTGACATGGAGGGAGAGTACAGAGTGCACGCAAAGTTTAATAGGATGTGCGTCAGGGCAGGTACTAAATAACAGGAAGAGACCAGTGGTGTATAAGTTTTGTTAAGTAAGGGTGTGTTTCACCAAAAGACTTGTGCCAGTCAGCTATCTTTGACAGGTTTTCCACCCTTAAATTGTACTAGTTATTCAAAGCAAGTTGGTAGAAAACACTGGACTTGACTGTAAGATACATCCTGCATACAGTATCTGATTTCCAAAACAGGGGACTTGACATAGGTGAAATACAATAAAAGTGTGTTTGTGTCTGTCTCCGCATGTAATTTTTTTATCAGTTGATTAATTGATTATCATGTCATTTAATTATGATCATGCCCTATAAGCTGTAAAGTGTAGAGCATGCAATCCGTCTCTGTATTCCAGTCAGGTAGATGTTATTATTCCTACAGTATGTTCCCTATAGATTTGTTGTTTTTCCTGTAGATACGTCCCCTCTAGCCATCTGCATGTCACAGAGTTTGAGACAAATCTGCATCCTTCCTCTTTACAAATAAAAACAAGGCTAAGGGATTGCTTGTTTTATATCCATACAACCAAAAGCCAACCAAATGTATAAAAGGTTAATGAAAGATTATTCTAGGTAGAATATTGCACCTTCAACTACTACTTCAACTACTTTTGAGGTTGAACATTGTATTTGAACTGAAATGAATCACACTTTCTCTCATTTTCTTTCCAGATTTACAGAAGCAACTCCAAGTTCCCCGACCAAAGATCCGGAGTCACTTAACGATCAAGGTGCAGTCCAAACTGATGTCAAAGCCTTGTCCCTCTACCCGGGGTCCCAAACCTCCCACCGCTCCAAAGCCCAGACCCTCCTCATCTGAGACAGAGGCAGAGGAGGAGCAATGCCCCCCTCACTGTCTGAGAAATGGAGACTTGACCTCCTCAGAGGGGGAACCTGAGGACTACCAGGAAGGGTCAGAGGACCCCATACCCCACTCCACAGATCACAGCCAGGAGGAAGCAGCACCAGAGGAAATCCTTAATGACAATGACATCACAGATTATAGTGAGAAGGAGAATGAGCAGGAGGAGAAGGGGGATGAGGTAGAGCGAGCGAGAGAGACGTTGAGCAATGCATCCGAAATGGAAAACACTAGTGCATCTGACACTCAAATTGCTGTAGAGGAGCAAAAATGTACAGCAATAGATGACTTGAACCCACCTGAGAGTGACAATGATGGCACATCTGTGGACCCTGAAAATCATCCAGAGTGTGACAATGTGTTTCTGTGTGAGAGAGGAGATGAGGAAGGAGGGGGAATCAAAGAGGAGGAGGAAGATAATCAGAGTTTAACTGAGGAGACTGAAACATCTGAGGAACCTATAGGGTACCCAGAAGAAGATGTTGAAGAACCAGAAGATCATGGTACCACCCCTAGTCAGCCTGCTGCAGACACTGACAGTGGGCTTGAAAAGGAAGTCAGCGCCCCTGGTGGTGAATATTTGCAGTGCAAGTTACCCACTGATGAGGCTGAAGAGGAAGCCGAGGATCTCTTACTGGGAGCACGATGCTGTACACTCCCACCCGTCGGCGAGGAGTATCCCTATGATGTGATTGGCCCCTCAGATGAGCCTGTTTACACATGTGACACTGGTGAGGCCGGTGACACAGGTGTGTGGCAGCCTGAGCGTGCCACCAAGGACCCCTCTGGCCATTTCCGTTTCTCTGGCAGCACTGAGGATGTGTTTGGGCCTTACTCCGTCATCGAGGCAGTGCCTGCTAATAGGATGAGCACCGCTGACCCTGAGGTGAATCACGATGGTACATGCTGTGGTGACAAACCACAAACTGCAAAGGAGATGGACACAGCAGGCACCTCTAACCAAGAGCCTTATTATGTGTCATCGGACGATGTGGCAGAGCTAGAGGATAAACGGAGAGAGAGTGAGGTCCAGGACAGTCCTGAACAGTCCAGCCAATACAGAGAAACAGCCAAGGAGGATGTGGATGAATACGCAGACATCGATGACTCCCTCTGCCCCGAGGCCCATGACTTTCAGCAGCTGGAGGGTGCCTCATCAGAAGACTATGTGGAGATTGGGGACGATGATGAGACGGATGACACGGAGAGGAAGCAGATCAGAGGGAGGAGTGTGAAAAAGAGAACAGCCAAGCGGGAGCAGGCTTTCTTCAGCCAGCGGAACAGCTGCCAGCCCCGTCTCAGGCTGTGTAACATCACAGTGCCAGCAGACCTGGACCGGACACGGACCCCAGAGCTCACCAACAGGGTGGTGTTCGCCCACACCACAGAGGCCTTCGAGGAGGACATTGAGGAGATGGACTGCCACATCGTACCTTATCACGAGGACTCAGACTCAGACAGTGAGGAGCACATCTATGAGGAGGCCGGCTTTGACTCTGAGGGAGAGAACTTTATCTCTCTGGACCGGAAGAGCATTGTGACACGGTCACGCTCTTACTCTGGGAAGATTTCGGGTTATGTCCCTGAGACGGTTCCTGAGGAGACATCAGAGTACCAGAGTACTTATGACTACTGTACTGTGGCCTTAGACCAGAACGGAGAACCTCTGCGACGTCCTGAGCAGCCTGAGGTCAACAGACTCATCCCCTCGCTGAAGCCACGCCACTTCCTACTATACCCACACTCGTACTCCGCAGAGGGTCGAGAACTGTCATTGGGAGCTCACACAGAGGCCAACCAATCACTGAAGGAGGATCGTAGGATGAAAAGGACAGATGACACCCTCTCTCTGCCATGTGTTATCACTTCTTCCGGAAGCTTCTCTAAGCGGAGCCACCAGTCGTCCAGCGACGTTTCCACGCCAACCTCTCTGATGGACATCCCACCTCCCTTTGAGCTGGCTTACATCACCAAGAGACCGGTCACTAAGAGCTCCCCATCCCTTCTGATCAGCGTCTCTCCTGAGTCCACAGACAACAAGCACAAGAAGAAGAAGTCCTCATTCAAGCGCTTCCTGGCCCTGAAGTTCAAGAGGAAGACGGACACTAAAGGCTTTGGTGACGGGAGCATACGCTCCTCGCGCTCCTCCTCTGAGTCCAGCCACCATGGCCCAACGAGAATCCTGGAACTGGAGCGCAGGAGCACTGGCTCCCCTCAGCCCCAGTCCCAGTCCCGTATGGTGAAGCCCCAGCAGCGCCCTCCAGACCTTCCCTCCACCTTCCTGCTCTACAAAGACCTCAGGAAAGAAGACCCTAAAGCCTATGGTAGCAGGGGCGTGTCCAGGGTGGAGTCCTTCGAGGAGCGCTCCCGCCGCCCCCTCATGCCTCTCCCCCTGACCAAACCTCGCTCAATCTCCTTCCCCAGTGCAGACACTTCTGACTATGAGAACATCCCAGCTATGAGCTCTGACTATGAGAACATCCAGATCCATCCTGGAGGGAGACCCACCAGATCCATGAAAGTCACAGATTTCTTTGAGGACCCCAAACGCATGGCGGCACCCTCCAATGAGACCGATGGCTATGTGGATATGAACAGCTTCCCTGGGATCGACAGCAAACCCCAGTCACCTGAGCAGGAGCCTGAAAGGTACATTCATTTATTATACTGTGGAACAAATTCATGATCATGGATGTTGGGCCTCTTCAGTGGTTGTCTGAACTGAAAAATAAGCCCATAGATAGTATACAGTCTGCAGTAGGGTTGCAACATTCTGGTAACTTTCCCAAAATTCCCTCGTTTTACAGAAATCCCAGTTGGATAATTCCTAGAATCCAGAGGGAATAAGCATGAAATCCTAAAATACTCTTACAGGGATTTCTGAAAACCTTGTAATTTTGATAAGTTTTGCAACCCTAGTCTGCAGAGAGGGCTCTTCCCCATAAACACTCTCCACACACTGTTCTCCAGTGGACTGGTTTGGCCAGGCTCCATCACTTCAACATTGCAATCTCCAGACCAGCTAATAGATAACTGTATCTCAAATGAACAGCGGCTCCTGGCTGTCCAGACTTCTCTTTCTTGGAGATTGTTGTGTTCTGTGAGAGATGAGCAGCCTGATTTGATGAGGCTCGTTCGGTTTGGGAAGATGGACAATGCTTGTGGAAGAGCTTATCCCACTTTCTAATTTTCTGGATTTCAAGGTCGCATCTGGTGTTAGCTTCATAGTGTGCCTGAGGGGATGGAATAGCTCACAGACACTGAACACTGTAGACAGAGCTCAGGTTTATTCACAATAGAAGTAATTATGGGTTACAATTAAAAGTGAAAGAGAGTGTGTGGGTGGGTGGGAGAGAGAGAGAGGGAGAAAGAGAGAGAGAGGGTGAGAGAGGGAGAGGTACTGTAGAAAGCAGGACAAGGAGACTGAGATTACGAAAGATGAGAGAGAAGGAGGGAAAGGTGTGATGAGCAACAGAAAGTGGATGAAGAAAGAGAGGGAGAGCCATGGAAATGAGACAGAGATGGCAGAAAACGAGAAAGAAGGGGGAAGAGTAAGAGTGGGTTGGTTTAATTGCTCTCCTGTTCCTGACATTTGTGGTTAAGTTTAGGATCGCTTTTATTAGTGCCTCTCTTTCATTGAGCCCTGGAGGGATGGAAAGATTTACAGCAGAGAGAGATAGAGATAGGAGGAGCAATCACTGGGACCTGCTAGGACCAAATGACCCTCTCTCTGGTCTCTGCCACCACTCTCTACAGCCAGCCCAGGCCACCCGCAGTCACAGTTAGACACCTGTTTGATGGCTGGTGTGTGTTCATAGGGACAGGCCATTACTACAGGCCTCTTAACAGCTTTTTAAAGAATTTTCACACCAGTTCCTGGGAAATTGCCACAGCTGCCATTTATGGTTGCTTCATGCAAAGTTGCTTATTTCCCATGCATATTTGACCCATAGTCCCGTGTAAGTGCTCTTTTAGAAGAGGCTACAGTAAGCCAGTATGTTTTCTCAGAGGGAAGCCTTTCTCACAAAACCAGGCTTATTGTCGACTTCAGAGGCACTGCGAGTCTCTGTGGATGAATTCCATTCCCTATCATGATCAATGACCTCACTGTTTATTTTGGAGTTTGTTGGAAACCAATGTGCCACACGTTTGAATCTCCTCCATTTCTCAGACAATAGTCCCCCAGAGCAGGATCTTTTTCTGCTGCTGACGTTATCTATTGGGCTCATTGTTTGGTGGAGGTCTGAAATCTAACTGATCTATAGAGCCCTATATGTCCTGTCGCCTCGCCTCGGCTGCATTCTCCCTGGAGAGACTTCTGTTGCCGGGGATGCTGTGTCTGTTTTGTGTCTGTGCTGTGCATTCGTGTGTATGTGTGTGTGTTTTCCTGCTAAGCTCTTGCTGAAGGGTTGACATTGCCACTGTCCTAGCCCGGCAGACCGATGATGGCAGGGTGATTTATTGAGCATGTATTCAGAAGTTAACACTCTTCTCTCACCACCCAACAGAGAGGATCGGGACTGTTGAGGAAAGAGGGACCAAGGGACAGTGGGCTGACGTGAGACAAGGGGATAATACCCACAAAAGAAGGAAAATAGTTACCACAAAGTTAGAATGTTTCTACAGCATACAATATTTTACACCAGGTTTGATTAATGTACAGTTCAAACACTGTTTAGCAGAGAAAGGCAAAGAAAATCACATTTTATTTGTAAGTGTAAACATAGGCAGGGTAAAGAAATGCAAAGTAAGAATATATGCAGCTATTAATTAATGTGTGTGCCTGCCTGTTTAAACTAGGGTTCTGCTGGTTCAGAGCTGGAACTCATTGAGTCTGACTGAGACTGTCTTGCTAACCTAGCTGGCAAGGAAGGCGTCTTGGCGGTACTTGTGTTCGTTTCAGGGGGCAGTCAATGTGCTCTGTGATGACTCTGTATCATGCAGTACCAGTCAGATCAACAGCACCAATTAACCAATGTCATCCCACTGGAATAACCCCACAACAGACCAAACCACAATAGTCAAGACTGCCATTGTATATAATTTTGCTGCTCTTGTTATAGATATATGTAGTCATTTAACTTAGACCTGGCAATTATTCTTATTTCTTATGGTAAAAGACTTCAACTGGACCTTGGGATACAGCAGTATGATGGGTAATTCCCTACTGCAGCCTCTAGTGTATCCTCTGGTTTGTAGTTCCTCTCTGCCTCTGTGCTGTGTTGTCTTAGTTCTGCACAGAGATGTCCTGAGTGCATTGTTGTAGAGGGCGGTGGCTGTCCACTGTGGCGTGGTGGCTGGGTGGGCTCTGGGGCGGCAGGGCTGTGGGGCGGCAGGGCAGGGCGTGGGGTACAGCAGGAGCCAGGCCCTCTGAGGTCATTGCCAGGTAATCCCCAGGGAGGAAGAGTCCTGCCTTATAGGCTTCCACTCCACCCTGCTGTTTACAGGAAATGCAGGACAAGGGCGGAGGGAGCGAGGGAGACAGGACTGAGGGGAAGGGGGAAGATGGAGGCGATGGGGGTCACCATGGTGGGGTGAGGTGTGAGGGGGAGGCAGGGTGGATGTTCCCATACTCCCCCAGGACTGGAACAACAAGACGAGGTGTGGTGTTGTCAGGAATGTCAGGTCCGACCTAGAACTAGAATGTGCTGTTGTTGTCTTCACTAGTAGAACAGAGGAGTGGTTACTGTAAAGAGTCAGTGGGACCCAGTCTTGACAATTTCAGCAGGATTCCTACAGTTATGACAAAACCAGGCCCCACTCAATAGAGAAATAGCCTGTCAGATGCTTTCCTGTTGTTTGTGTTGATGCTCTATCATGGCAGTCACAGTCAGGGGCCAGGCTCTTAGCATTCTACCTCATACAACACTGTCAGACAACTAGCAGCACAACAGCCATAGATCACACATAATGATCAACATAAGCAGCTCAAAACAATTTAAAACAGTTCTTATGTTTTTAAATCCCCATCTGCGTTTACATTTCCCATGTCGAGTCAACTAACGACCGTATTTCAGCTTTTCCTATTTTCTTTAATAGTACTATTACAAAGACAGAAAATACCCTCCTGATTGCATCTAATACATATTTTAATACTCAATGTTTTACATATTACATGCCCCAACTAATCCTTGGAAAAGGGGGACATGTAGGTATTTTTATAGAAAATCACTTTTGAATTTGTCACAGTAGATTTAACTCCCAGGTATTAAAAAAGACACTGGTTGCAAAGGCAAAGAGATTGCTGGCATAATTATATTTCTGTGTAATGAGCATTTTAAAGTCTTTCAAGTATTGTTCGTATGAAGCAGTTTTGCTGATGGCTAAATTATATAGTGTGATTGAGGACAGATATTACATATGGAACCAGGGAAACATTTTAGAATTTTAAATGTGGTATAAATCATGATAATAAACCATTACATTTCGGCTTCCTATTATAACAGAGGTTGAGCAGGAAATCACTCTTGGTGACTCTGGTGAGAAATGACCCTCAGTGGGCACTAAAATGCTAATATTTCAATCTAACTGTTCAGTGATGGTTTATACATATTGTCACTAATGTAGCTCTCTACTACTGTATTCCTACAGTGAGGGAAAAAAATATTTGATCCCTTGCTGATTTTATATGTTTGCCCACTGACAAAGAAATGATCAGTCTATAATTTTAATGGTAGGTTTATTTGAACAGTGAGAGACAGAATAACAACAAAAAAATCCAGAAAAACGCACGTCAAAAATGTTAGAAATTGATTTGCATTTTAATGAGGGAAATAAGTATTTGACCCCCTCTCAATCAGAAAGATTTCTGGCTCCCAGGTGTCTTTTATACAGGTAACGAGCTGATTAGGAGCACACTCTTAAAGGGAGTGCTCCTAATCTCAACTTGTTACCTGTATAAAAGACACCTGTCCACAGAAGCAATCAATCAATCAGGTTCCAAACTCTCCACCATGGCCAAGCCCAAAGAGCTCTCCAAGGATGTCAGGGACAAGATTGTAGACCTACACAAGGCTGGAATGGGCTACAAGACCATCGGCAAGCAGCTTGGTGAGAAGGTGACAACAGTTGGTGCGATTATTTGCAAATGGAAGAAACACAAAATAATTGTCAATCTCCCTCGGCCTGGGGCTCCATGCAAGATCTCACCTCGTGGAGTTGTAATGATCATGAGAACGGTGAGGAATCAGCCCAGAACTACACGGGAGGATCTTGTCAATGATCTCAAGGCAGCTGGGACCATAGTCACCAAGAAAACAATTGGTAACACACTACGCCGTGAAGGACTGAAATCCTGCAGCGCCCGCAAGGTCCTCCTGCTCAAGAAAGCACATATACAGGGCCGTCTGAAGTTTGCCAATGAACATCTGAATGATTCAGAGGAGAACTGGGTGCTGTATGATCAGATGAGATCAGATGAGACCAAAATGGAGCTCTTTGGCATCAACTCAACTCGCCGTGTTTGGAGGAGGAGGAATGCTGCCTATGACGCCAAGAACACCATCCCCATTGTCAAACATGGAGGTGGAAACATTATGCTTTGGGGACAGGACAACTTCACCGCATCAAAGGGACGATGGACGGGGCCATGTACCGTCAAATCTTGGGTGAGAACCTCCTTCCCTCAGCCAGGGCATTGAAAATGGGTTGAGGAATGGTATTCCAGCATGACAATGTCCCAAAACACACGGCCAAGGCAACAAAGGAGTGGCTCAAGAAGAAGCACATTAAGGTCCTGGAGTGGCCTAGCCAGTCTCCAGACCTTAATCACATAGAAAATCTGTGGAGGGAGCTGAAGGTTCGAGTTGCCAAACGTCAGCCTCGAAACCTTTATGACTTGGAGAAGATCAGCAAAGAGGAGTGGAACAAAATCCCTCCTGAGATGTGTGCAAACCAGGTGACCAACTACAAGAAACATCTGACCTCTGTGATTGCCAACAAGGGTTTTGCCACCAAGTACTAAGTCATGTTTTGCAGAGGGGTCAAATACTTATTTCCCTCATTAAAATGCAAATACATTTATAACATTTTTGACATGCGTTTTTCTGGATTTTTTTGTTGTTATTCTGTCTCTCACTGTTCAAATAAACCTATCATTAAAATTATAGACTGATCATGTCTTTGTCAGTGGGCAAACGTACAAAATCAGCAGGGGATCAAATACTTTTTTCCCTCACTGTATATGAGACCAATTATGTCCTGTGTGCCTAGACACTGGTAGAGAAAGGATAGTACTATGAGATATTATTGGAGAAGCTGAGCATTTTGATACAGGATCAGGTGCAGAAGTTAAGCTTTTACTTATAGATGAATATGATGGTCCACATGTACAATTGGCAATATTTACAAATAATCACAAATATTTCAAACTGCTCAATAATACTTAAATGAAAAGGAAATTACTTGGAGCAGGCAAACCTGTCTATTCCATTGAGACTCAGGTTGGGGTATACCATGCTCACGTCAGCCTCCCCTCACATTTACCACACCGAATTTGCCGAAGATCAAAACAGGCGCTTATGCCCCTGCCTGGGACATACCACTGTCAAAATTACAATGAATCACTTAACTGTGGTCCTCTGTAGCTTAATTGGTAGAGCATGGCGCTTGTAATGCCAGGGTAGTGGGTTCGATCCCCGGGACCACCCATACGTAAAAAAATGTATGCACGCATGACTGTAAGTCGCTTTGGATAAAAGCGTCTGCTAAATGGCATATTTTTATATTAACTGGTAATCAATGTAAAAGGCATGTTAAAAAATCCTTCATTACATTGTATAATAATAAGCAGACATAATCTTCATCGGAACCCGTTCATAAAATAAATGTAATTTAATTCACTATTCACAGTTGACTCCTTTATAATATTGGCACCCTTTCAGGATGGCGACATGACTACAGGAATGCGCTCGCTCCCATAACTTTTTACATGTACCGGACATTTGAAACAGACAAGAGCTCCTCCAAGGACTAAACACCAAACAAGTTTCCTACACATGGGAAACTATTGAGCATGAAAATAACACAAACCGGTGCACCTACTACCATACCTGTTCAAAGGCACTTAAATACTTTGTCTTACCCATTCACCCTCTGAATGGCACACATACACTATCGGTCAAAAGTTTTAGAACACCTACTCATTCAAGGTCTTTTCTTCATTTTTACTATTTTCTACATTGTAGAATAATAGTGAAGACATCAAAACTATGAAATAACACATATGGAATCATGTAGTACCCAAAAAAGGGTTAAACAAATCAAATTATAGATTCTTCAAATAGCCAACCTTTGCCTTGATGACAGCTTTGCACACTCTTGGCATTCTCTCAACCAGCTTCCCCTGGAATGCTTCTCCAACAGTCTTAAAGGAGTTCCCACATATGCTGAGCACTTGTTGGCTGCTTTTCCTTCACTCTGCGGTCTGACTCATCCCAAGCCATCTCAATTTGGTTAAGGTCGGAGGAATGTGGAGGCCAGGTCATCTGATGCAGCACTCCATCACTCTCCTTCTTGGTAAAATAGCCCTTACACAGCCTGGAGGTGTGTTGGGTCATTGTCCTGTTGAAAAACAAATGATAGTCCCACTAAGCCCAAACCAGATGGGATGGCGTATCGCTGCAGAATGCTGTGGTAGCCATGCTGGTTAAGCGTGCCTTGAATTCTAAATAAATCACAGACAGTGTCACCAGCAAAGCACCCCCACACCATAACACCTCCTCCTCAATGCTTTACGGTGGGAAAAACACATGCGGAGATCATCCGTTCACCAACACCGCGTCTCATAAAGACACGGCGGTTGGAACCAAAAATCTCAAATTTGGACTCCAGACCAAAGGACAGATTTCCACCGGTCTAATGTCCATTGCTCGTGTTTCTTGGCCCAAGCAAGTCTCTTCTTATTATTGGTGTACTTTAGTAGTGGTATCTTTGCAGCAATTCGACCATGAAGGCCTGATTCACACAGTCTCATCTGAACAGTTGATGTTGAGATGTGTCTGTTACTTGAACTCTGTGAAGCATTTATTTGGGCTGCAATTTCTGAGGCTGGTAACTCTAATGAACTTATAATATAATATAATATATTATGCCATTTAGCAGACGCTTTTATCCAAAGCGACTTACAGTCATGTGTGCATACATTTTTACGTATGGGTGGTCCTGGGGATCAAACCCACTACCCTGGCGTTACAAGTGCCATGCTCTACCAATTGAGCTACAGAGGACCACCTCTGCAGCAGAGGTAACTCAGGGTCTTCCATTCGTGTGGCGGTCCTCATGAGAGCCAGTTTCATCATAGCGCTTTATGTTTTTTGCGACTGCACTTGAAGAAACGTTCGAATTTCTTGAAATGTTCCGTACTGACTGACCTTCATGTCTTAAAGTAATGATGGACTGTCGTTTCGCTTTGCTTAATATGGACTTGGTCTTTTACCAAATAGGGCTATCTTCAGTATACCCCCCCTACCTTGTCACAACACAACTGATTGGCTCAAACACATTAAGAAGGAAAGAAATTCCACAAATTGACTTTTAAGAATTCACACCTGTTAATTGAAATGAATTCCAGGTGACTACCTCATCAAGCTGGTTGAGAGAATGCCAAGAGTGTGCAAAGCTGTCATCAAGGCAAAGGGTGGCTATTTGAAGAATCTCAAATATAAAATGTATTTTGATTTGTTTAACACTTTTTTGGTTACTACATGATTCCATATGTGTTATTTCATAGTTTTGATGTCTTCACTATTATTCTGCAGTGTAGAAAATAGTACAAATAAAGATAAACCCTTGAATGAGTAGGTGTTCTAAAACTTTTGACTGGTAGTGTACACAATCCATGTCTCAATTGTTTCAAGACTTCTTTAACCTGTCTCCTCCCCTTCATCTACACTGATTGAAGTGGATTTAATAAGTGACATCAATAAGGGATCATAGCTTTCACCTGGATTCACCTGGTCAGTCTATGTCATGGAAAGAGTTCCTAATGTTTTGTACACTCAATGTATATGCCTAGCACATACTGTATGGAACCAACAAAACATATTTACACTTTAAATGTGGAATTAGATTATGAAAGGAAACCCTTTGGGTTTCCCATTATAACAGAGGTTGAGCAATAGATTACTCCTGTGCCCAGACACTGGGGGATAGAGAGTATGCCTTTAGTAGCCTAGGCCTACTATTTAAAGAGCACAATATTATTGGAGAAGCTGAGAATGGTGATGAACTATGGCGCAATGAAAAGCTGAAGCAGTTTTGATCGCAAGAAAATGTATAACTCCCTCTATTTTAGATAGCCTAGCTATACATTAACTATGAGCTCATAGGATTCAAAGGTTCATAGACCCTCCCCTCTCTGGCCCTCTCACCATCACCTGGGACCCCCAGTGTGACCTGGCCCCTCAAGAGGATAAAGGGAGGTCACAGATGAGTAATGCTCCTCCAGCCCAGCCAATAGCACCAGGGCCTGTGTGAGAGCCTACAGTGTGGTAAGGGCAAGATGAAGGATGACTGTGTCTCTGTGAATATGAAGTCCAGCTGGGAACTCCTTTAACCTTTGGTACTCAGGAGCTGAGAGGGTAGAGATGCAGTACAGGCCTGTAATAACCTCAGTCTCTACAGAGTGATCTGTTATAGTCGTCATTACAAACTGGGTGGTTTGAGCCCTGAATGCTGATTGGCTGACAGCCATGGTATATCAGACAGTATATCAGGGGATGACAAAACATTTATTTTTACTGCTCTAATTACGTTGGTAACCAGTTTATAATAGCAATAAGGTACCTCAGGGGGTTGTGGTATATTGTAAATATACCACTGCTAAGGGCTGTATTCAGGCACTCCGCATTGCGTCGTGCTTAAGAACAGCCCTTAGCCGTGGTATATTGGCCATATACCACACCCCCTCGGGCCTTATTTCTTAAATATAACATACTCATTATATCCTCTACCGCAATGTGTGTGTGTGTGTGTTTCCATCACACTGTATATGTGTGTATATTGGTACAGCACAGTACTTCAAACAGTATGTGTGTGTGTCCCTTTGGTCTGTCTTGCTGTGATGAACTTGTTCACAGCAAGACCCCAAACAAACGCTTCTACTCATGCTGTTAATGTCCCTGCAATCTGGCTCCAGTCATCCATGTTACTACTGTAGGACACACACACAGCGGAGTGGATAATACATGCAAGGGCAGGGGGATAGGTGAATCGAAAAATGAGCAGCAGGCTTGTAAGTGTATTTTTTGCACTGCAGCGTCTATAGTAAAACCTTTGCCAGTGAATGTAATGTCCCTCTTCTCTCCCTGATGTTGCAGTGCCTACACTGAGCCTTTCCCATTGAATGATACTCCAGCAGGGCTTTCAGCTGAAGAGGACCATGGACGCACCTCAGAGGAGGAGGAGGAGGAGGGAGGAGTGGAGCATGGCTTTGACAAACAGGTGATACACACAGCCAGCAGGAAACACATTAGACTATGTAACTCTATGAGCATGTATTAAGTCACAGTTTTTACAGATCTTCAAAGATTTTGGAAAGAAATGCTTGTGATTAAGTATTTCTAAGATGGATGACCTTTACTTGTAATATTCACAACATAATATTTCACTTGGCTAACACATTCAATGGTGGGTATCACTTGCTGTTCAAACTCTTGGTTCATCCTTCTTTCTATTCAAGCAGCCATTTTACAGTAGCCTAGAGATGGACCCCACCCAATCCCACTGCCACAATAATATCAGCCGGGCTCCGGCCACGTGACTCACACTTCCTTGCTTTCTTCTTCTTCAAAAGAAAAACACATTAAGGAGAAAAATAGTTGAGCCATTCCCAGAAAGAGCCAGTCAGCCTCTCATACATAATGCATTTGAATTTAAACCTGTGTATTTGAAAAAGCTTTCAGGTCTATGCTCCACTCTAATGAAATAATCAGTCTTATTTTGACAGTGGAGAATCAAGAACATCAGAATTTGCTTTTCCTCAATCTCCTCTTCCTGTGTAGCTGTTGCTATCAATGTTTCACAGGAATAAGTACCTAAACAGAGCATTTTAACATTAGCTCTGTTCATTCATCTCTTGCTGCTTTCGCTTCTGTCACCCAGATTGATGGACGATCCAGAGCCTTCTACGTCGCCAAAGAGCTGGTGGATTCTGAGAGACTGTGAGTATCTCTTTTAATTTATTCAGTAGCCTCCCTGCTTTAGTCAGGCCATTCTCCCTCCCTCCCTCTCTTGTTCTCGCTATCTCGCTCTCTCTCCCTCTGTCTCTCTTTCTCCTTCTCTCTCTCTCTCTCTCTCTCTCTCTCTCTGTCCTCTTCATCACTGCCTTCACTAATTCATTGAGTAGCATCCACAGCAACCCAAACTGACAGCCAATTAAATGAGTGTCTAGTGTAAGTTATTCAATATCAGCACAGCCTCACCAGACTATGAACTGTTCTTCTGATATACTTCGGAGAGTAAATATGACTTGTTGGAGAATGTTTTTCTATGTAAATCATGTGAGACACGTTTTGCATCTTGTTATTTTATATCTTGTAATAATCTGCTAAAGTATTTACCTGTCTGAATGGATTTGTGAATGGATTCCCGTTAAAGCTGACAATATCACTAACCTATCACTCTCTCGTTGTTTTTTAGACATGTAAAGGCCCTTAAGCTCCTTCAAGAGGTAAGATAAACAAACAGAGCAACATCACTCTCATTGAACAGAGTAGAATATATTCTGGTAAAAGCCCTCTGAATACTCAAATTATTCACCTCATAATGCCCTGTGTCACGATCGTCGTTAAGAGAGGAGGACCAAGGCGCAGCGTGATGAACGAACATGTTTATTTATCTATAGTGATAAATACTGACAATGAACAAAACAACAAACGACTCGTAACGTCCTAGGTAACATAGACCAACACGGAACAAGAACCCACAAACACAAAGGGAAAACAGACAGTTTAAATATGGCTCCCAATCAGAGACAACCAGCCACAGCTGACACTCGTTGCCTCTGATTGGGAGTCACTCAGGCCAACCTCGAAATAAACAAACTAGAACTCCCAACATAGAAATATAACACATAGAATGAACACACCCTGACTCAACATATATAGTCCCAGAGCCAGGGTGTGACAGTACCCCCCCCTAAAGGCGCGGACTGCGACCGCGCCTCAACTAGAGCAAAACAGGGGAGGGCTGGGTGGGCATTCCTCCTCGGCGGCGGTTCTGGCTCCGGGCTTGCACACCACCCTTCCACCATCCCCCCGTGGCGCCCCTGGTCCGGTCTGACGATGCGCACCCCTGGCTTGGTGCATGGAGTAGGAACGGGCCGGACCGGGCTGACGATGCGCACCCCTGGCTTAGAGCGTGGAGTAGGAACGAGCCAGACCGGGCTGACGATGCGCACCCCTGGCTTAGTGCGTGGAGTAGGAACGAGCCGGACCGGGCTGACGATGCGCACCCCTGGCTTGGTGCGTGGAGTAGGAACGGGCCGGACCGGGCTGACGATGCGCACCCCTGGCTTGGTGCGTGGAGTAGGAACAGGCCGGACCGGGCTGACGATGCGCACCCCTGGCCTGGTGCATGGAGCAGGGACAGGCCGGGCCGGACTGGCGACGCACACCGTAGGCTTGGTGCGAGGAGCAGGGACAGGCCGGACCGGGCTGGCGACGCACACCGTAGGCTTGGTGCGAGGAGCAGGGACAGGCCGGACCGGGCTGGCGACGCACACCGTAGGCTTGGTGCGTGGAGCAGGGACAGGCCGGACCGGGCTGGCGACGCACACCGTAGGCTTGGTGCGAGGGGCAGGAACAGGCCGGACCGGGCTGGCGATGCACACCGTAGGCTTGGTGCGAGAAGCAGGGGCAGGCCGGGCCGGGCTGGCGACGTGCACTGTAGGCTTGGTGCGTGGAGCAGGGACAGGCCGGACCGGGCTGGCGACGCACACCGTAGGCTTGGTGCGAGGGGCATGAACAGGCCGGACCGGGCTGGCGATGCACACCGTAGGCTTGGTGCGAGGAGCAGGGGCAGGCCGGGCCGGGCTGGCGACGCGCACCGTAGGCTTGGTGCGAGTGGCAGGAACAGGCCGGGCCGGGCTGGCGACGCGCACCGTAGACTTGGTGCGAGGGGCAGGAACAGGCCGGGCCGGGCTGTGGAGACGGATAGGAGACCTGGAGTGAAGAGCGGCCACAACCCGTCCTGGCTGAATGCCTACCTTCACACACTCTGTGTGAGGCATCCGCACAGGACGTACAGGGCTGTGTACCCGTACTGGCATAACAGCACGTGACACTGGAGCAGGATATCCGGGACCGCGGAGAGGCATTGGAGACCACGAGCGTTGAGCCGGCACACTCCGTCCTGGCTGCATACCCACCTTCGCACGACACGTGCGGGGTGCTCGCACAGGACGTACAGGACTATGCCGGACCACTCGTGGCACAGTACGCCGCTCCGCATACCGCGGAACCTGCCCCGTCCCATGCTGCCATGCCTGAGTACGGGAAGTTGGTTCCGCTCTCCATCCAGGCTCCGCCTACCTGCCTTCTGGCCCCCCAAACCCGGTGGCCTCCTCTCCAAATCGCCCTGTGGCAGCCTCCTGCTGCCCAGCCGCCCATGCCGTGTGCCCCCCCCTAAAACATTTTTGGGGTTGCCTCTCGTCCGTCCGACGATGACACCGCTGACGCCGCTGCTCCTCTCTCGCCAGGGCCTTAATCCTAGCCCATGGCCCTTTTCCCCCGAGCATGTCCTCCCAGGACCACACTTTGCCCACCTGGGCCATCGCCAACCTCTCCATCTCCTTTCCCGGCGCTTCCTCCCATGTCCAGTCTGCCTGCTCCTGGACACGCTGCTTGGTCCTTGTATGGTGGGTTCTTCTGTCACGATCATCGTTAAGAGAGGAGGACCAAGGCGCAGCGTGATGAACGAACATGTTTATTTATCTATAGTGATAAATACTGACAATGAACAAAACAACAAACGACTCGTAACGTCCTAGGTAACATAGACCAACACGGAACAAGAACCCACAAACACAAAGGGAAAACAGACAGTTTAAATATGGCTCCCAATCAGAGACAACCAGCCACAGCTGACAGTCGTTGCCTCTGATTGGGAGTCACTCAGGCCAACCTCGAAATAAACAAACTAGAACTCCCAACATAGAAATATAACACATAGAATGAACACACCCTGGCTCAACATATATAGTCCCAGAGCCAGGGTGTGACACCCTGCCCACTTGATCCAGTTCCTGATGGAACGTGACCATTTTCCTCCATTCACAAACAAGCAAAACTTTGTTTGTTAAATATGAATAAAATGTGTCTACATAACGTTCACAGAATTTGAAAGATATGTTCATTCTATGTTGATGAAAATTATTTTTCACGTAGTACAGCTCCATTCCGTTTCTTTTTTATCCTGAAAAACTCCCCAGTCCTTAATGATTACAAGCATACCCATAACATGATGCAGCCACCACTATGCTTGAAAATATGGAGAGTGGTGCTCAGTAATGGGTTGAATTGGATTTGCCCCAAACAACACACTTTGTATTCAGGACAAAAAGTGAATTGCTTTGCCACATTTTTTGTAGTATTACTTTAGTTGTTGCCAACAGGATGCATGTTTTGGAATATTTTTTATTCCCTACAGGCTTCCTTCTTTTCACTATGTCAATTAGGTTAGTATTGTGGAGTAACTACAATGATGTTGCTCAATCCTCAGTGTTCTCCTATCACAGCCATTAAACTCTGTTACTGTTTTAAAGTCACCATTGGCCTCATGGTGAAATCCCTGAGTGATTTCCTTCCTCTCCGGCAACTGAGTTAGGAAGGACGCCTCTATCTTTGTAGGGACTGGGTGTATTGATACACCATCCAAAGTGTAATTAATAACTTCACCATGCTCAAAGGGTATATTCAATGTCTGCTTTTTAAATTTTTGCCCATCTACCAATAGGTGCCATTCTTTGCGAGGCAATGGAAACCTCCCTGGACTTTGTGGTTGAATATGTGTTCACTGCTCGACTGAAGGACCCTACAGATAATTGTATGTGTGGGGTACAGAGATGAGGAAGTCATTCAAAAATCATGTTAAACACTATTAATGCACACAGAGTGAGTCCATGCAATTTATTATGTGACTTGTTAAACACATTTTTACTCTTGAACTTATTTAGGCTTGCCATAACAAAGGGGTTGAATACTTATTGACTCAAGACATTTCAGCTTTTCATTAATAAATATTTTGTAAAAATTTCGAAAAACATAATTCCACTTTTACATTATGGGGAATTATGTTTACGCCAGTGACAAAATATCTCAATTTAATCCATTATACATTCAGGCTGTAACACAACAAAATGTGGAAAAAGTCAAGGGGTGTAAATACTGTATAAGCACTTGGAAGCTGACGTTCGTTAGCATTAGCATTCCCAAAGAGAA